ATGTAACCTTAGTTCCCTGAAGGGAACGAGACGCTGCGTGTCTATGCCATACTCCCAGCATGCCCGTGAGCGCTTGCTTCAGTCCTATCAGAAGCTGTTGCGCTTGTGTTTCGGGGATGCTTTATAGTTTCCTGGTCGATACGTCACCCCGCCTATGACGTTCCGTCTCGCCATTGGACAGATTTCATACGTGCTTCATGACTCGTCACGCAGAGGCGTTCCCACGGCGTTTACACGCAGCGTCTCGTTCCCTTCAGGGAACTAAGGTTACATACGTAACCAGAGACGTTTATTATAAGAGACGTTTGAAGTACGTTATAAGGAGTCATTAATGTATTTTATACCATGGTCTGGGTGAATACTCGATTCTGATTGGCTGCAGGGTGTCCGTTAAAAAGTGATAGAGGACACCTAGTAAAGTAGTTCTGGTGAAACTGCCTGTTTACCATTCGAAATTAATAAATAAATGCGCTGCCTACAACGGCTGTGAGTAACCATAGCAACAGGCAGTCACATGCTCTATCATCTAACGTTAGATATTATAGCCTAATACAACAATGAGCGACTTCGTGCTATTTCTTTTAACATTTATGGAGAATATGGCAACTTTGACGACTGGTATGCTGCTGAAGAAAGAAAAAATGTAAATAAAACGGAGGAAATTACACCGCTGCTGCGCTGCTCCATTGAACTCTATTGGTAACGACGTAACTTGCGACCATAGTTGGATAACGATGCTTTCGGGAAACGCACCCCTGAATGAGACCCTGCGGGAGTTTTACGCAGCTGTCCAGACAACCAAGGCAGGAGAAGGCTGAACGTTACAGCGTTTCAAGCCTAAGGAGCCTGAGGCAAATGACCCTCTCTTTGATCTGATTAATTTATTGCCCTCTATAACGTTAAGCGCAAATGGCTGGAGCTCAGAGCTAATTGTTTTTCTATTGTTGTTTGATTAATTGTTTTATGTGTAATAAAAAAAAACTATGCCTACCTTTGTGTTTCATGAAAAAAAAAATGCATTTGTGAACCTGAAGGGATACGAGCTAACTTAAGCGGACTATAAATATCTCCGGTTGCTAGATAAACAGTCAGTCAAGTTATTATTTGTAAAAACTAGATTTAGCCTAATTAAAATATAAACTAATGTTTTATTTGGCAAGTGACCATGGTATAAGCGGGTTAATGCCCTCCGATGTGTCCATTGTCAGGTTTTAATGGACTTCGGCGGAGGCAACCGTCCTCCGCTGCGCGTCGGCCGGTTTACGCCTCGCCGTCGTCCATTAAAACCTGACAATGGACACCTCGTCGGGCATTAACCCTTACTTAACTTATATGTTTCATATACTAGTATATAACCGAAGCTGTAGATTGTAATCGTTCTTATTGTTTTTTAGTTAGCTTACATAGTAGCATAGCATTTATCCACGGCAAACGTCAGAATGACTAGCAGAGTTAAGGCTGTTCCAGGCGGGCTAGTTAGATGTGCTGCTGATCCCTGGTTCTGACAACTCCGAAAACGTCAGAACGATGTTTTAAAAAGGCGCAATCTTTATAAATACAACACAGATTTGAGCTTTAAACAACTATATTCTCGACTTAAAAACTCTTAAAATTACATTTCATGACACAATAACAGTAATATTTTTAAATTTCGAGGACTTTCTCCTCTGCTGTTGACGCAACCTGCTATGACAAGCGCTAAACTAATAAACGTATTACTTGATGGCAACAAACTGCTTTTATCAAGTTATCGTGAGAACATATTTAGATCAGGCATACTACTGGCATACTATGGGGTGGAGCCATAGGTGGGACCCATCTCTTCAGGGGGACTTATCTCTTCACCACACTGGCCAATCAACGAACAGAGGGTGGGCTGACAGCCGTGACGTAGACACTAAGCGCCGAGTGTACATTGTAGGTTAGAGAAATCGGAAACCGAAACAACCGCAGAAATGGGAAACAAGACACGGGATGCAATTCGCTCTGTTATGGAGAACATTCCGGGGTTTTTCAAATTGAAGCAAAGGTCGTTTACAGCCATGTTCACTCCGGTATTTCGCTAGCATCATCAGTGTTTACAGCTAGGACCAGCGTGTGCACTTCTGCCCCTCAATTTGCAACGTAAAAACCAGCATGCTTGGCCATTATGTAGCTTGCACAACGCGCATACACTTTTGATTCTCTCATCAACACAGATGCAGCCGTTTTTATTTTTGCAAATCATTATAACAAGGAAAAATATTAACACTTCAAGCTTAGGCACTTAGGCTATCCAATTTTTTCAGGCTAATAATTGTAGTAATGATGGATCAGACCTGTTTGGCCATAACTGTTTGGCCATAACTATAAGGACATAACTTACCCCCATTCAACGTCAGTTCTCCGTCTTTTACGGCCATGACAAGAAAGTCGGTCTCCTCGGCTGTGAACGCTCCTGGTGCGCTCTTGTTATCATAATATTATTAGGTAACACTTTATTTTACGACCCGCAAACAACTGTGTAAGTACACTGAAATTACGGTGTACATTTCTGTAATTATAGTGTACTTCCGTGTAGGTATAATGGAACAATATGTTAAGTTTTGGGTAATAAAGGGGTAACAAGCACCACTTTAATTTACAGCCCGCAGGAGTTACACTTACCCTGTAATTACGCAGAACAAGGGGGTAACAAAGCTACTTACTATGTACGAAACAACACTATTTGCACTTTAATTGCAGAGAAAGGTAGGCCTACTGTTATATAAAAAAAAATCGTTTTAATTACGCAGTATATTTGCCCTGACATTTAAGTGTTATTGCAATTCAATGGTATAAGGTAAGTACTAATTACCACATGGTACGGTCTAAATTAAAATCATAGCACAAACAAATTATTTTTACTTAACATTAAGTAATCTAGTAAGAAAAGCCAATAAATTTAATTTTTATCATAATATATATATATATATATATATTTATATATATATATATATAACCCACAGATCTCAAAATTACCTTGTAACATTGCACAAGAACATATTTTTCCAGAAATGTGATACATTTTATAAACAACAGACGTACAATTTTTGCCTGGAATATATTAACAGAATAGGTACCTGTTATTTTTTTAACTAAGATTTGCGCCAGGCGCAAGAGGCATTAATCCCGCCGAGAAAATAGCAACAGCACCGGGATCCGCCCACAAAGTTACTTGCGCTTTGCGTTTTGACACTTACGTTTCAGATCATTAAAATAGGGCCCATAGACTCAAAATTGCACAATATAAAATGAGATTAGCGTGATATAAGCTTCCAATTGCATGAGTCAGAAATTAATTGCGACATACAGACTCAAAATTGCGTGATATAGCCTAAAGTCACAATTGTGTGATATATACTAGTAATTGAGTTATAAAGTAATAATTGGGAGATATAAACTCACAATTGTGTGTTGTAGTCAGAATTGCATGATTTAAAGTCGCAATTGCATGTTATTAAGTAAGAATCGCGTGATTTAAAGTCGCAATTGCGTGTTATAAAGTAAGAATTGCGTGATTTAAAGTCGTGACATTAAATCCCGCAATTATTACTTCATAACAGGCAATTGTGACTTTAAAGGGACACTATGCAGTTATTTTAGCTTAATTTTACAGCTTCTGAGTTATTGAAATGGTTATACGACTTCTTTCGGGTTGAATGGTGGGCGTCTCGACCCCCCCTGGTGCCTGTGAGTGGAAAAATCTCACTAGCAGCTTCGGTGCGGCGAGCCGCCGGCCTCAGCATCAGGAAGTATCGCGTGATATCAGCTCTTGTGATTTAACATATTCCTTTACGGCAACACTGCACATATCCAGGAACAAGGTCGAGAGGGATGGAGTTTTGCACACTATCGTCATGGCTGGGCCGGCATATAAGATACAGAAAGCTAGGAAAGCATTTTCGGAGGAACAGAGAAAGAGCAGACTGACCGAGGGAGGAGTCAGACACGAGCATAGGCGTAATTTGCAGGTGTGATATTGAAACATCTCGCAGCACGGATGTACCATTACAAACAAATAAAACATCTTCAGGTAACTCTAGTAGAGCATTCATTTAGTTCGTTTGTTAAATAAGAGGAGATCTGAAATGTGTTGTTTTTGAAATCAAGTGACCAAAGCGCGTTGCCGCTGTGATCAGTTTCAGTGGATTCAGTGTTCTGTTGTGACGCGCACTGTCTTCAAATGGACACGCGCTCAATCCGTTGCGGGGACTGAGAGACTCATTACGGTGAAATCACAAAACCCAATGCACAAAAAACATGTCCCTGCTTAAAATACAGCCACTAATAAACAATCGGTTTTGATGAGGAAAATAAACTATACTATTAGTAGGAATTAGAAGAACCCAGAACCTGTGAAACACATGGCAAAAGTTCTTCCTCTGGACCATTATAGTTCATGGGGATATGTATTTAATCACGTGAAAATTCTCACCACTAACAACATATATTAGATCTCATTAAACGACAAATTAAACACAATGTACTATTGTATACTATGTAACACGTCACGCTCTCCGTGAGTGGTATTTCCGACAGTAACGTTAAAAACAAGTAATCCACAGTTACTCTAGGAGTCGCTGACAAAAACAGCATTCCTGCCTGGTGTCCCTTTAAATCACGCAGTTTTGAGAAAAAAGTCAAAATTGTGAGATGAAAATTTGCTCAATTCTTAGAGAAAAAAAAATGATTTTTATAAAATAAAAAAGTCCGTACACGATTTAATTTGACAGGCAAATTTTGAAGTTAATCATGTCCACTTTATTGACCATGAAGAATTATTTCAGGCAAAATTTGTAGCGTTTGTGGGAAGTGTAAATCAGAACTGAAATGTTTAAACCATTTATAATAGCTTCATCATAACATTATTATACCTGTGTAAATGCGTTTATTCGGCCTCTGTACCATATTAAATGCAATTACTGTAATGCACAGCTCAAGAGAATACTTGGAAAATCAGCTATGCAGTGACACAGGGGTGAAAGCTTTAAATATCATTCTTTTATTCTTAAACAATCCTAATTTCATTCTGCTTTATAATATCAATGCATATTTTATACATCTCATTATTCATAATGCATATATGATAGTGTTTCATTTAGGTGAAAACATTTGCAAACATGAAAAATAAAGAGTTCTGTTAGTACACAGCAAAAATTACACACTCCCATTACAGTGTTTTCTTGTCTGGAAACTCATTTGATCAGGACAATCTTTGCACTGGGTGTCTGTTTTGTACACTCGTTGTCACATACATGTTATTTATTTGACAATTTCTCACTTAACTATAAACACACTTTTCTGAGGACTCATGCGTTTAAGTCTCTGCATTTTGTTGCTGCATACTTGGGCACAGCTCTCATGCCATACTGGAAGACTTATGAATGCCAGGCTCCTCCTATAGTCCACAATTCACCCGCCCTGTCCAGGCCGACCTCAAACCCATAAAGGGGCAATAAACTGGCCTTCTTTGTGCTTTTTTGACTGGACAGGGCTGGTGTTAGGGTCACACTGCTAAGACTAGAGCTTCCTGAGTAGCTTGTCATACTTTAAGCTAAATATAATACTTAAGTTGGGTGCTTGGGTGCAAGGAAATTTGAGAATAATTCACAGGAAATTGCCTACTCTCCATCTAAAGCTTAGCTGTCCGTCATAATAAAGAGCGTCACACTCCATCTGAGCAGTGCCACGCACACACAAACATGCACACATACAGTGTACCTGTGCTAGACGTATGTGCGCCAAGGCGGGCAACATTTTTGAAGAAAGTGTTGCATGGATATTATCTCTTACCAAAATGAACAGGCAACAAAACAATCCAAGACCACTCCAAGCATACATTCTACATATACCCTTCTGACATTCCAGCAATCTGGAGTCACAAAGTGCATTTGCCTCTCAGGTATTTAAAAAAAAAAAGGAAAATGAATTAATAAATAAAAGAAAGTAGAAAAACTAGCTCAAACCTGCATAATATCCACAAACAGAATCAATAGCAATGAGCATTGAGCAAAGAGAGAAAAGTTCCCATTTTTCTTGATGAAAGTAAAGCATGAAGAGCATTCACATGAAAACGAAACACATGAGAAAGTTTTAAAGCTCATTTCTCACAGCATAAACCCCAAACAAAAAAATATTACTATTGTTGTGAACCAAATTACTGCCCACTTTTTTTTTGTTTTGTTTTTTGTGTTTTTTTTTGCATAAAATGTGAGTTCAACTGCTGATTGGAACGGTAACATTAATCCCCCCCCCCCACCCCCCGGTTCTTCTGTAAATTTCTCAGGCAAGAGTTCAGTTGGTCTTCTGGTAGCAGATTCCCGTGGTTGGAGGCTGAGGGCGAGGGGCTGCTCTGCCTCCTGTGTTTTTAAGCCCTGCTATGTGGAGTCCTGGTTGACCGCTTTGCCTCCGTTCATCGTTGGGGTTCCTGAGCTTTTCCTGGAGCGTTGCTTCTCCTCAATCTCATGCAGTGAAGGCTCTCTATACATGCAAACTGCAATATGCAAACACATCAAGAGATTAATACCCATTACTTTTGACTGGGATCATTATGAGTAATGAGACATATTATTGACATACTTTTTAGCTTTGTATTATTTTTATTTAAAAAATACATGAATGTTAAAGGTTAAAGTGAACTTGAAATCAAAGCTGAACATATTTGCTTGCTTTATAAATGCTGTTGGTTTTGCTGTGTGCAATTCATCAGTGCATGTAATTCCAAAGATTGTTTGTCTTGTTGCCTAACTTTTTTGCGTAACACTTTCTGGCATTTTTCTAGCCCTCTTAGTTTTTTCCCCTTGTCTCAAACCATCTGGGCCCATTCTGGTGCAGCTTTTCACAAATACATAACCTGTACTTACTGCCAAAGTGTCAAAAACTGAAGCATCACTATTATTATTATTATTATTATTATTATTATTATTATGCGAAAGGTTCATTTACTGTATATAGACATCACCATATTGACAAACTCTATTTTCCACTCCAATCATCCTAGTGAAAAAACACTATACCAAAATGTATTTAAAATGCATTTATTTCATACTAAGTATAGTGCAAAAAACAATTAACATAGTTACTTGACATTACGCTTTCTACTAATATAAATATTATAATTAAACTTTATTTGGAATATTTTTACAATGCACATTTCTTACAGTTTTTTTCGATTGCTAAACGACAGTGAGCACAACTGGAGCTAAATGTGCAAAACTCTAACTACAGTCTGCATTACCAACAGTCACCTGAGCACAACTCTTAACACACGGCTCAAAACAGGCTCAGTGTGCACAACACCTCACTGAGATAACACACACTGTCACTCAGAACACACTGAGAGGAAAAACAGTAGCATCAAACACCAATGCAGAAAATCCAAACTTTTCATCTTTACAGTTTCAACAATTTCAGACTTCATACAAAGTAATATTTTCTGCAAAGAAAAGAGAGACATTCTTTCATTTGATATATTTACATTTTTAAAAGATAACAATTGAAAATTAGCAGTTTGCTTCAATAGTCTGTAGTAATTTACAGAATAACAGTAATGAGAAAAAAAGGTAGAAACTAAAAGTACATACTGTAATACTGTGACCCTGCCTCTCTCAAGCATTAGGCCTCAAGTTTTCAGCCTTTCAGCTGAAATTGTTTGAAAATCAGCAGTGTGTGAAAGGCACAAGGCTGAGATCTATTCTGTTTTGAATGAGTGGTTCACAGTTTTGACAGCAGTGTGTTAGCATTTGAACAAAGTGTTGTAAATCCACAGTGTTGTGCAGGTTGTGGTTAAAGTCATGGGATAAGTGTGTAGAGTTTTGAAAACTGTGTTCAAGCAATGAAAAAAGATTTAGAGTTTGGTCCACATGAACTGCTGCTGTGCAGACTGGAGTTAGAGTTTTGCACATGTAGCTCCAGTTGTGCTCCACTGTGGTTTAGCAATTGAAAAAAACTGTATTACTAGGCCTTATACTAGGCCTTATACCAGGCCTAATTACTAATTACTTAAATGTGTTTTAATGTCACTATTAGTTCGATCTCTATACAATATCAGTCTTTAAATGCAAGACATTTAAAGTGTACCTAATGTATACTTTCAATAGTTCCATTTTAGCACAATCAAATATATATAATTATAGCTTTAGTTGAACCTCAGCACTATTTTCTAGATAACTAATTTAGTTATTTAATTAGCAAAATTAGTTGTTCCCATTTAGCAGACTTTAAATGTAGTATACCAAAAGTACAATTGCAGGGTATTTATATTAAATAGGCCTACATAAATATATGTTAATGCATTTTTAGTAGGCTATACTTGGCATGAAATAAATGTATTTCAAATTTATTTTTGGTATATTTATTGTGCATTAGGGATTACTTTCAATGAGAAACCTCAGTCATCAATACAGACAAAGAGCAGATTTCAGATTTTTTAGCAGATGCTGTTATGCAAAGTGACTTTGTTGAGGAATACAACAAGCAATTCTTCTTCAGAAGGCTATAAACGAGAAATGCCAGTAATATAAAGTTTCAGTCATCGTTCAAGATTGAACAAGTAAACATCTTAATATGCTATAACACTCAAAACACGACATCATCAGCTTTAAGTGTGAAATGCCATTGGCCCTCATGTGTCTCGTGACATACAATTTGTCTAGTTTTTACTCTGTTCCTCACATAAAGATATAGTATGGCTTCAGAAGACTTGTAATGTAATATGAGTTGTTTGTAAATGATATACTTTCCGTGTTTTGCTGTACATACCTGTACTTGTATCTGCCTGTTACTAGTGGTTAGGTTTAGGATAGGGTCATGATTAGATACACAAAAAATCTATACAAGTATAAATATACAGTATATGAAAATAATTTCTACTTTACAAATACATGCAAAGAATTAAATGTATCTTGATCTGACGCATGAGGCAAGCATATGAAACCAAGTTCGTCAATATAGCAATGTACCCTTAATCCTTCTCTATATAATCTACACACAGTATATAATAAATATTACCACATTATTTTGCATTTGGTCACGTTTTGATATTTCTTTTGGTGCTGAATTAAAGGACAGGGCTCTTGAATGCTGGAAACACACTTTTGAAAAAAAACTACCTTCAATGGGTCTTGGTACAAAGTGTGAGGAGGGCTTGGTTTTCTTTACTCGATTCCCTTTCATGACCTGACCCTCCTTGGTGAGGCCCAGGAACCAAGCTCGCCCCGACTCCTGTTGGCGGTACACGGTGGATGAGTAGATGACGTAGTAGTTCTCAAACACAGATTCCTTGAATTTACACTCAGGTGTGAACATCTCCTGCGGATGAAAACAACAACAATACGTGAATGAGCTCGTCCCTTGATGGGTGGTTAGAGGAGAATAAGGGATCAAACAGTCCCGTTGGGGAGTCCCCAGGGAGGCGGCAGGTGTTGTAATGCAGCTTGAAGGACGATGAAAGTGTGTGTGCAAGTGTGGAAGTGTTTTTGTTCAAAATATGTGAAGGTTAGAGAGGCAGTGGGAGTTAGCATCTCTTATCTGGGTCAGGTGACATGCAGCAGACGCTACCTTGCTAGGGAGGCTACAGAGGTCAATGTGGCTTGGCGGACTCCAGCCAAAACTGATGAACTTAAAACCTTAACAGATCATCCCTGCACCTGTCCACAAGTCGATTGTATTTTTCAATGCAGTTTGACATAAAGAGAAGTGTATTTTTAACATTGTGTACATTTAATATTCAACAATAATCTTGATCTGCCTGCATTGACACCATTATATGAGAACTGAACTGAGCTGGACAATGACATCACGATTTTCTCCAGAGCAGCTTTATATAAAATATAAACTAAATGTCATGTTTTGGTCTTGTCTCTGTCACATTTTGGTTTGTTCATGTCCTGTTCCATGTCTGTCATGTGATTCCCTGTTTGTCATTTGATCTTGCCATGTGTATTGGTATCTTGCATTGGTTAATCGTCTGTTCATTGTTCACAGGTGTCCCAAATTGTCTTGCAATTAGTCTGTGTATTTAAGTCATGTTTGCCATGTGTCTTTGTCAAGTATTGTTTTCTTTGACCACTATTCTGTAAGTCCATGTCCATGGTTTTGTTTCATGTTATGTTTTGATCCTGTTATATGTTAATTTTGAATAAACCCCAGACAGCAAACTGACATTGAATCAACGTGGAAACGACGTCTCTCATGACATTGAAACAACGTTGATTTTGCTCATCGAATTAACGTTGAACCAACGTCAGACGCGGCATTCTTCAAAGCTAAATGAAAATCGAAAATTGGTTTGCTTTCATAACGTTGAAACAACGCGTTGATTTCAAGTTGATTTTCCGTTAGTTTTGAAAGAATGACGTGTCTGACGTTGGTTCAACGTTAATTCGAAGAGCAAAACAATGTCAGATCAACGTTGTTTCGATGTCATATTTCCACGTTGATTCAATGTCAGTCTGCTATCTGGGACTGCACTTGATTTCTTTCCTACAACTTGCCTCCAGTCCAGTGGATCCTTACACTAAATTAATAACTTTTTAAAACAAAAATTAACCATCACTGCTGGACTGTTATGCTGTTTTGTTCTGGAAACAAACTTAGTTATTTTATTTTCCTGTTATCACTGTAAAGCTGTTTTGAAACAATCTGTATTGTAAAAAGTGCTATATAAATAAAGATGACTTGACTTTTTCTGATTTTAAATAGCATTTTTGTACATTTTTCTGGTGCCACAGTTTTTATTTAACATAAACAATATACAATAACATATCATAAACAATAATACAACTAGGGGAGAGCGGGGCACAACCTAACGCATTTTGGTTTTGGCTCAATTAATTAAAAAATAATTAGGTTAGATAAATATTTTTTTTACACAAGCAACATACACATCTCTGCTACAAATGACCACTTAAAGTTTTTTTCTAGGACCAACCATTTTCGTACAGTTGCACTGAAAGTGACAGAAGTGAAAATGTTACAACTTGCCACATACGCGGGGTTAATTGTAACAGACAGAAGGGTTAGTTGTAACACTTGAGTGTAACACAAATAATTCAGTACTATTTTATTTGTATAGTTTGATATTGTTTGTGCATCTGTATAGACAGATATCCATACATCCATCCCTCATCCAATCATCCTTTTGTTATGGACCAATATCATGGATAGAGACATAGAAAAGGGCTGCACAGTTTTGCAATAAATAATAATAAATAAAATTATAAATATTGTAATTGCAATTAAATTAGATTTGTGTGTGGCAGCTGCATGTACAATTATTATTATTAATAATAATAACAGTAATAATAATACAAATGAGCTTAAAATAAAAATTTAAAGGGTTTATTGCATTAATAACAGGCCATATTTTTAATAAATAAACAAGTTATCATTCATATACACTAAATTTTAAACATTTTAAATTCCAACATTGTTTGTGAAAGTCCAACAAAGTTAAATGTATACTCAGTTGTATGGCTCCGTTTTCATTTGATTCTCATTGTACACTTGGCGGCTTAGTTGTAACACTCTGTTACAACTAACCCCTCTGTGTATTACATATTTTAAACCTAGCTAACAGTCGCTAGGAATTGCTGACATGTTTCAAAAGGTGCTATGTTTGAGCCAACAAGACAGTGATTAAGGCAATATGAAGTTAGATTTGGAAACGTATACACCCAACTCAGAAACCGAAAAAAACCTATGATGAAAAAAAATAAATACTTTCATGGTGTCAAAACACTCTTTGTCCAGTATCTTCACGAAATATAATCAAAACTTTCCGCAAATTCACAGGAGACCGTCGTCTGGCAGCAAGAGAAAAATAGTGGAAAGTCAACCTGCTTGATCCTGATGAACTATGTAAACGGTCCGTGTTACATTTAACCCCGTGTTAGGTTTTGCCCCGCGCTCCCCTATTTCAGCATGTCACACCACACACATTAAAGGGATAGTTCACTTTAAAATTAATTTTTGATATGTTTTAGCTTACCTCAAGGGCATCCAAGATGTAGGTGTCTTTGTTTCCACAGTATTTTCAATTTTGATATTTTTCGGTCAAACCGGTGTTGTCTATCAGTCATATAATGGACTTTTAGGGGGTCCTCCCTCGGTTCACCTCAAAGAGCATGCACAGAGAAGTCAAAATGAAACATGATTTAATGACTTGTGAATGTAAGTACACATTGATGGCCTAAGACATTAAATGAGTGTGAGAAAACGAACAGTATTTATATCGTTTTTACCTCGTGTAACACAGCCATGTCCAACTGATCTGACGGCACGGGCGCTTCGGTCTGCGCATGCGCCGGAAGTGATCGCTTGAGCGTGTACGTCACTCATTGTTTACACAGAGATTTTGGAAGTTTTACCTTTCACTAAACATATTTAGATATATCGTAATCGTCTTCCATTGCCATTTCCTGTATATCTAAATATGTCCATGACTGATAGACAACAACGGTTTGACCGAAAAATATCAAAATTGAAAATACTGCGGAAACAAAGACACCTACATCTTGGATGCCCTTGAGGTAAGCTAAAACATATCAAAAATTAATTTCAAAGTGATAATTTAACATCAGGTTCAGAACAGCATTCGAAAAAAAAAAAATAAAACAAAGGAAAATAATGGTTCATGTCCAGTATTTATTCTCCTGGCACACCGTATCAGAGAGGCAATTAGACTGGAGATCAAATTTCAATCCTTTAATTCAAACTCCAACAGATCCACCGAGAGAGGAATGAGTTTTTGGGTAAACAAGCATGACATACTTCTTACACATTAGTAAGCTAAAGAACTCTTCAGTGGCGTGTCAGTGGTGGCTGTTAGTAAGGCCCTGTTAGCCTCGGCGGCTGTTAGATGATGTAACTGTACCATCTGTTTATAATATCTTTCTCATTTGACAGCCATTCTAAAGTGTTATATATCTGCCTAGCAGAGCAGATATCTTTGTTCCATTATTGAGGTCTGTTCCAAAAGCTACCTCTGGTTTTTTTTAGTCATGCCTGTGCCCGCGAGCTGTGCTCAGTAAAGCCTGGTGTGAGTTGCATAGCCATCTCGTCTCGTGTCTTATTTCGTGCATCATATAACAGACACAACAGTGGCGACGCGGATGGGATCAACTGTGAGCGTTAATATCCTGTAGTGTGCGAAAAGCGCACAGTCTTTTGCGGAGTTTGACTGCCCCCCAGAGGCCTGCAGAAAAGACTTTTACAGAACTTCTTCAAGTCACCCAAACCGTTATTAATTGCTGAATGTTTCAGATTTTATACAGTAAACGAAATCAGTACGAGGGAGAGACCATTTCCACTTATGTGGCTGAATTAAAAAAGTTAACGGAGTCAATTTGGGGACGTGTTAAACGACGCACTGCGCAATCGGCTGGTATGTGGTATACATCATCGAGGAATTCAAAAGAGACTGTTGACTGAGCCAGATCTGACATTTAAACAAGCAGTGGAGATCACCATTTCAATGGAAACTGCAGCAAAAGACGCTCTGGAATTACAAAGTGACCTAAGTGTGAATAAGCTGTCAACAATAAGCAGAATAAACCAGACGCCCTGTTTTCGTTGTGGAAACTTTTCTCATCTCTCCTCTGAGTGCAGATTTAAGAATGAAGAGTGTAGACAATGTCACAAAACTGGGCACATTCAACGAGTTTGTCGCAGTGGCAAGGCGAAAGGGACTGAGAAAGACAAGAGATATCTCAGTGACAAGAAAAACATGGATAAACTTGATGATGTATCAGACAACGACAGTGAGGATGCATTGGCCAGTTTGGAACTGTTCAGTCTGGGCGGAAAAGACAAATAGGCCATCTGGCTCACGCCCAAACTAAATGGTCAGGCAGTAAAAATGGAGCTGGACACAGGCCCAGCTGTTTCAGTCATGTCTGAGAGTTTTTCAATAAAGAAAAACTAAACCGATCTTCTATTGTTCTCAAAACGTATACTGGAGAAACAGTAAGGCCACTGAGTTTCACTGCTTGTGACAGTAGAATATAATGACCGTAAAGAGATTCTCAAAACAAAAAACCTTAGCGTGTTGCCTGCCGTGCCACAAAATACAAAAGAAAAGTTGGAACGGATATTGAGGGACGCTGCCCATGTATTTCAAAGTGGTATTGGCACCCTAAAATCCATCAAAGGGAAAATTGTGCTTAAGGATGGTGCGACCCCACGGTTCCACAAAGCACGTCCAGTTCCATATGCCATTCAACAGATTGTCGAAAGTGAGCTGGATTGGCTGGAGGAAAATGGGGTACTGTCGAAGGTGGACTGGAGTCCTTGGGCGACACCTGTTGTCGCTGTAGTAAAAAAAAAAAAAAAAAAAAAAACGGCACAGTTAGATTATGTGGTGGAGATTTCAAGGTCTCAATTAATCCTGCACTACAAGCTGAACAGTATCCTCTACCCCAGATCGAGGACATTTTCGCAAATCTTGCAGGCGAACAGCGTTTTTCAGAGGTGGACTTAGCTGACGCCTATCTCCAGATGGAGATAGAAGATGATTCAAAAACCTTTCTAACCATCAACACGATTAAGGGTCTTTATCATTACAACAGGCTTGTGTTTGGAGTTGCTTCAGCTCCAGCCATCTGGCAACGTGCAATG